GCCAGAATGGTTCTTAAGAAAAGAGACCTCAAGTACAGCAGCCCAATCTCCCCAACAGGTATGAAAACTCCAGGGATCCCACTCACCCAGCCTTTATGAGTAGCCAAGAAATACTGCCCCAGTGTGTGAAAGCTCAATGATGGAAGGCACTGAGCACCCACCAAGGGAACACACACCCTCCTTTCCCATGCAGGGCTGGCACTGGACCTCAAGATGCCATCCCACAGCTGGCAGTGTTTAAACTCAATGCAGTCACACACACAGGTTTGGTGGAATGTCCATTAACCTTCTCTCCTGGAGAAAGGTCTCCCACTCCAAGTTAGGACACCATCTACATAAAATGCACAAATTCAAATCCTTTTGGCACCACAGCTAGCACGTTGGTTCTGGAAACAACACCAGGATGCATACCCTGGCTCTCTGCTTGGAAGCATGGAGCTGCAATGGAAGAAGCAGTCTTCTCTGAAAGCTGCTAAACCAGACCAATACTGTCAACCAGATCTCTTTCTGTCTGCTTAGACTTCATCTGTGTGCTTAGACTACTCTTAAACAGAGTGTCTTCAGTACCACTACTTATTACAATGATTTTTAAAAGCTTTTCTGCTCACATCCCCTTATAACCCTGTTCTGGTAAGCTACTAAAACTCTTGGCAAAAGAAGTGTAAACTTTTAACTGGGTACATTTCTGCTGCTTCTGATAAACACCCAAGCGACTCTGCTGTGAAATTGTCCATGCTTCTGGTTGCAAGATCAACAGCAGGCCCCTGCTGGTATCAGAACAGGAGATTCTGGTTTCCTCATCCACAGGCTCTTTCTCTAGTGTTCATACACATCTTCAGTTCAAGGAGGAATTCAGAAAAAAACTGCGTATTTTTAAATGAAATAAAAATTGAACCATATGTAAGCAAACTTCATCATCTGGGAGAGAATAAAACCTGACTGATATAATACAGCAAGATAACAATATTTTCCAGGACGGGATAACCCAATTCATTTGCAAAAGGAATGAGACAGAAGAGTAACTCACTCATTTGCCATGCATATCAAACAAGGCTTCTAAGGAAGGTGTATTTGTACCCAGTTGTTTGCTCATATATTTTACAAATACTGGCTTTCATTTGGGTGATGAGTTTGCAAGGGCAGGTACAGGAGCACGCAGGACTGTCCAGAACAGAGCAGGCTTTGGCAGATCAGTTGAGGTGCCAGTGGTGATTAGCTGGACACACCCAGCTTTGCACCCTGCTTCTCATTAGCATTAATTATCCACCACCATACCTCTGCTGCTGCCGGGATGAAAAGTGGCTCGGGCAGTAGTTTCACAGTCCTTCATGCCAACTGTGGAGTTGCCAGAGTGCACAACAGGGACCTTATATTGGCCCCATGTCTTCCTGCCAAGGGGAAAGGAGAGCAGAGACCTGGTTGAGCAGAAAGCTGGAGCAGAGAGAACAGGTAATACCTCCTTTGCTCTAAGACCTCTCAATGGAACTTTAACCTGACAGAAAAATGTTTGAGTGAATTTGAAACACCAGAGCTAAGGCTCAGTTTTGTGACGTGCTTCACCTGATGGCTGATGGAACGCCCCATCCTACACACATTCCCTGTGATGGAATGCCCTCACACACAGCCCAGAATGCAAGGTAGACTGAGGCTCCATCAGGTCCACCACTGAGACAGGATCACAGTGCCAGGGACTTGATTAGGGGTGCTCAGGGTGTCCCCAATGGGTGCCCTCCCCAGTGTGAGCTGCTATCAGGTTCTCACCCCACTAGCAACACAACAATATTCATTTCAGTGAACCAAAGTGACCTTGTAGAAAAGCAGACTCTGCACATGCAGCTCAGCAATTCTGCCAGATAAAGTGTTTTTATCACTAGAAAGTCACACTTTCAAATAATTTTCACCCCGAGGCCATAATCTCAAAAGACACTCTTAAAAATGTGTAGAACATAAAATGAGTGATTTTTTTTGATTGAGGTTAAGGAAAGAAATCCCTCACAGACATAACACTTTATTGATATTCTTGGTCACAGCTCTGCACACGCTGAACAGGATCAGCTACTGGTAAGGACCACAATTCATGTCTTTCCATTTAAAACCTGCAACAAAGAATAAAACTATTTCACAACTAACAAAAGGGAACCCTTTAATTTGCTACAACAATTTCAGCTCCCATTGCATTAGCACCCTCCAGTGTCCAATACCTGAAAAACATCTTCACTAATTTACCAAGCAGATACAGACTTGGAGCCTGAAACACAAGACACAGGAGTGGTGGACTCCCGGGAGGGAAATTGATGAGAACTGATGATGAGAAAAGAAACTCCCAAATGCTAGAAATTTTAAATGACATAGGCACAGTCTCTGAAGAAGATCTGACACGGGTTAGTACTCGTCAGGCTCCTTGTTCCTAGCAGGCATGCCAGGGTCTGCCCCTTTGGCACAACAGGCTCTCCGTGCCCACGCTGTACATTCCATGCTCTGCAGCGCCCCACTGAGGTGTGGATGCTGCCTTTGACTGATTTAGCACAGGCACCTGGGTATGGATCTGCCTGGGGTATGCCAGTAAATGAATACATGTAATAAAGCCCTCTTGTACGTGGGTGACGTGCTTGGCTCGCTGAGGGCAAACAGGTGACCGTGCTTCAATGTGCAATGCTCCTCTCTCACAGCATCATCACCAAGCAAAGCGAGAACAACAGCAAAAACAGCTGCACTTGCTACTAAAACCAGCTGGATGAAAGGTTTTTTAACTTTTTCCAACACAAAAATCTTTCACAGGCAGAGAGAGCCCAGTAGGCTCTGGAACATGGCAAATAAGAAAAACCAGCTCTGGGTACCTGCCTGATAATAACACAAACACTCGGTCCTCCTTTTCTGGGCAGCACTGCTTCCCCCCAGCCTCACGGGGGCAGCAGCACGCACAGGAAGGAGGAGGGCAGCAGCTGGAAAGGCAGCCACACCACATCGGAGGTGCCTGCTGTAATTAGGGTCCCAGTCCAACAGCATGGCAGAGAGCTCTGTGGGACACAAGAGCCAATTAAATCCAATCAACGTGTTGATTGATTGCTGACATTTGAAGTCATCCCTGTATTTTCTCTCCCAAGTGCACACAGTGAGCAAGGACTCCTCATGCCTCATCCTGCTGTGGTCTCTGACTGCTTGGATGCCCAAAATTCTGTGGTCTCTACCTGCCCAGTGGCCTCTTGGGCTCCACAGCAGCACTGATGACAAGGAGCAGCCAAATCCCACCACGGGGACACCATCACATCTTCTGGGAGTCATGCAAGGGTGTTGTGATGCCTGGCAGCCATGTCCCAACCCAGGGCAGCACCAGCCAAGGAAGCCACAGCTGGAAGAGAGCAGCCTCACCATGGCATGCAGGCAGCCTCTTCTCCCAGCCCTGAACAGTGCTGTGCACACATAAAGGTCATCACCCCTGCCCTCACACTGTGCAGATTCCTCTTCCCCCCACAGTATGAATATTCAAAATTCTTCATGACCAGAAATAGCAAGGCATAGCATTTATGATTCTGCACCAATATGGGGAAAAGGGGGTGAAAACAAGGGGGGAAAAAAAGCATGTATGTGGATGCATCCTCCCCAGAAACTGGCTGTAAAAGTGCACTGAAGGAGGCAGGCTGGAAAAATGACCCTGGGTGCTAGGCAGGATGCTCCTGTGGGCAGGAATGACTGACATGGACTTACTGGGCTCTTCAGAGTGCCTCCAGCACAGCACAAAGCACTCCAGCTGTCCCTGAGGCTCCCCAAGAACACCAGCATCAATATTGCATGCTCACAGTAACATCTACGTTACAGTTTTACAGACTGCACAGGCTTTTGTCACTCAGCTATAAAATATTTACAGAACCACGGTCTCAGCAGAGAATGCGAGAATTTAAAGCTTTAAATATTGATACTAAAATGAATTAACACTTGATTGCCTTCCTAATATCAATACTAAAAAAAAAAGTGTTCCCCTTCTAGCAGTGCTGTTGAAAACCTGCCTTAAATGAGCACAGACCCATCAATCCCTCCCTCTGGCAGAAGTCACTCCCTGCCCCCCGGGAACAGGCAGGCACACACCTGCAGGCAGAAAGCTGGACATGAAACCTGCACACTTCTCCAGCAGGAAAGTGCAGTGGAGCCTTTGTCCTCCGTGTCACTTGTCACTCGGAGCCTGATCCTGCAACACTGACCTGTACGGCGATCCTGTGTTTAAAGCAGAGCTTTTCCTAGCATCCTGCCGAAATCCGTGCTATTCCCGACAGCTATTCACCCACCTGTGGGAAAGCACCGGCTGATTTCGGGCCCTTGACAAGCGGACATGCGTTGCCTACAGGACCTTCCCTCATCCAGGCACTGCAGGAGCCGTGTCCCCCCACAGGAGCACGGGGACTCCGCACCCCCGGGCTCACGGGGGCCCCCAGGACATCCCAAGGATAAGGGATGCTGAGGGGGCCCTGGCACCCCTTCTCCTGCCCACATCACCACCTATGCCGGGCCATCCATGGATGGAGCAGGCGGCACAGGATGCTGTTTGAACAACGGGAAAGCCCCGGTGCGGACCCGGCCCGCCTGGCCCCGCTCCCCCTGCGGGAAATGGGGCACGGGGCCCTGAGGAGCCCGCTCCTCCAAGGCCGGGAGCACGAATGGGAAAGACCCAAGGTCACCCTCCGGACAGGAGCTGCACCAAAGCGGACAGCCGGGCAAGGGCAACGTGCCGGTAACGGGAGCAAGCACGGAATACATCGGGTCGGAAGGGACCTAAAGGACCACCTCATTCCAATTCCCCTCCGGCGGGCAGGGACACCGTCCCCTAGAGCAGGAAGCCGACTGCCATTCCCACGTTGCCCGTGCCCGAGGGCAGCCCCGCACACCCGTGGGGACCGGGGGAGCCCCGCTCGGGCGCGGCTCTGGCCGTGAGGGGAGGGGAGGGGGAGGGGAGGCGGCGCCGGGGGTCCCGCGCCCCGCCCCGCCCGCGCGCGCGGCCCGTCACTCACAGTCTCCGCCTCCCCGCGCGCAGCCCGGCCCGCCAGCACAGCCCCGCCGCCATCGCGCCGCCGCCACACGCCCCGCGCGCCCATTGGCTGCGTCGGGACACGCCCTGCGCTCCCATTGGCTGCGCCGGCGGCGCCCGCGGCACGCCCCCGCCGCGCGCTCGGCTGTGACGTCAGGCGGAGGCGCGCTCCCGGGCGGGGGCCGCGCTCCCGCCGCCCCGGCGCGTCCCGGCTCCGCAGCCCGCGGGGAGCGCGATGCTCCAGCTCCGCTGCCCCCGGTGCGCCTGTGACTGCCGCGAGTGCGAACGGCCCGTTCGTGCAGAGCATGAAGAGACAAGGCCGAGGATAACACAGCATGTAGCAATGGGTGGGGTTGGAACGAAACAAACTTGAGAAAAAAAGGGTCCGGAAAAGGAAATAGGGATTCTGAATCTGTTTTCCAACAGTCCAAACTTAGACTGAGCATATAACATAATTTTCTTTGCCATGATGCTGGAATGTGCCAGACTCACAAAGTATAATCCCAGCAAGTCCTCCAGTATTGTAGATACTTCAATTCATTTCCAAAGGACACAGACTTGGATCATGCAACCTCTCTGTCCTGTCATCTCTCATTCCTGCCCTTCCACAACTGCTGAACATGTTGCCCTGGCCATGGGAGAGAGATCCCCAAGACACTCAATTGCAGCAGCTTTCCTAAAAACAGGAGGTGGATAACGGAACACCCCAAACCAGTGCCCCCATTGGTTGGAAAACCCAGGTTCACATCCACGTAGGTTCACCCCAAGTCTTCATGAAGGGCTTTTTCTTTCCTAGGGTCACTGAGTTTTGCTGTATAACTTTGTTGTTTTCCCAACACACAATTGGCTTTCCTTTGTCAGCGAGCTGTGTGGAAATTTTCCAGTGTGGCTTAGCATCACTTCACTGGGGAAGTGGTGTCAGCAAAGCATGAGCTTCCCCTCCTAGCAGAAATAAAATCTGCTGTTTTGCAGAGCTGTGCTGAACCGTGAATGTGACCTGTGCTCAGCTTCCCTCCCCCGCATAATCTTGCGTGCAAGTCATGGGTGATACCCCTTGAATCTGACACACTGAGATAGCAAACATTTCCTTATCACCAGCAGCATGACAGAGTTAACCCCTCTCAGCACAGGTCCAGTGAACTGTGTGTGGCAGAGACTGCTCCTTCTCCCTCCTGTCACGGTTTCCTCCTTTGCTCTCTCCTCCTTCCAGCCTCACCTCCTTGGGGAACTTCCTCATGAAGGATGATATTGCACAACATGCTGGAGGAGAACCTTGGACTTGTCTCCTTGCCCCTCTCTTATTTCTGTAGGGACAGATTTCCTTCCTGGCACCTCTCTTGTCTTTTCCCCTTCCAGCTCCAAGACTCCCAGGTGTACAAAATGCTCTCCTTCCCTACTTCACTGATGAGGATGGCCTGCAGTGGGGAAAACAAAAAGAGATATGTGACGCCTGATAGACCCTCCTGGCTCTTGTTTCTCCATGGCTCCCCACAGAGAGAGCAGAGCAGAGCACAGCACAGCAGAGCAGAGCAGCCTGGAGAGGATGTGAGCAGGGGTACAGCCAGACCCTACAGGCAGAACCCCTGAAATGTGCATCATGGAGCCATAGAATATCTTGAGCTGGAAGGGACCCACAGAGATCATCAAAGTCCAGCTCCTGGCCCTGCACAGGGCATCCCAAGGATCACACCATGTGCCTGAGAGCATTGTCCAAAAGCTTCTTGAGCTCTGTCAGGCTGGTGCTGTGACCACTGCCCTGGGGAGCTGTTCCAGAGCCCGAGCACCCTCTGGGGGCAGAACCTTTTTCTAATACCCAACCCAAACCTCCCCTGACACATCCTCCTGCCTTTCCATTGAGTCCTGTCACTGGTCACCAGAGACAAGAGAAGAATCTTCCTTGCAGGAGCAGCACTTACTGTGACATCAGGGGGAGGCAGGGTGCTGTGCTGACAGGAGCAGCTCTCAGGTTTTGTCAGAAGTCCAAATAACCTTTCCTCAGCATTAGCAGCTGAGCGTGGGTTTTGCATCAACCGGTGCTGGCAAACTTGGACTGTCCTGGCCTGTTGCGTCCCTTTTACTTGTAAATGATAGTGGGAGCACAGGGACATTAATTAAATCTCATTACCATCTTTTCCCTTCTGTATTCTGGGAAAATACTGCATCTGTCTCGTCCTTTTAAAATGGGAAGCCTTTTAAAGATGCTAAGTTTTCACTTAATTGGATTAAGGCAGTGTAACATTTTCCAGAATGCTCAGAAGGTATTTATGAGCCTAACTCTCACTGCCATCCTCAAGAGTTAGGTGTGAGGTACTTTTGAGGATGTGAATCCTATAGCAGCAGTATGGTTGGGGTTAAGACCCCTGGAGCCATGTGTGCATGAAGAATACTTGCAGAAAAGTGTTGCTGAGCTAATTTGGGACTGCTCATCAGAATTAGGATACTTCTGTGGGTGCTTTTGGGTTTTGTGTCTCCTTGCAAAATCTCACGTGCACATATGTTGCAGCTCAATGTGAGATAACTGCACACAAATTAATCAGAGAGAGGGATCCTGCAATTCTCAGATAAACAATAAATTATGAAGGTCACATGACTCATGGACTGTGCTGGTGAAAATCATTTAGCAACTATAAAAGATTAGGAAAAATATTCTAAAAAAGGATAATTACCTACCAGTTTTTCTTCTCATACTTCAATAAAGCATCACACCAAACACAGTGTACATTTAATGTCCAGTATTTTTTAAAATTGCTGGATTTCAAACACCTTATTTGTCATCTTGGTCTAGTATCTTTTGAGATGTTGAGCAAATAAGGTTGCTACAAAAGAGCAAACCAAATATTTTGGCAGGATATGTGGTGGTCCTTGTTCTACAAGCATTTTCTAATTCTATGATGGTCTCTTGATGGTTGATAATGACAAACCCAAGTATTTTTGAATGAGAAAAGGAAAAAGAAGCAGTGTACTACTGCAGTACCATAGAACTATTAATAAACCATGCCGATAAAAGGAAATTTTTTATTGGCATCTTAGTGGAAAAAAAGAGCCGTGCTGCTGCCTGAAGCTATTGCATGTCAGTGTCCTCTTGACACTCATTTACTTTGATTTTCAAGAGAGAAATGAGCATCATAACAGCCAAGGCATGTTGTGCCTTCCTCTCTGTGTTTGTGTGAACACAAAAGGATGTCCTCCTCAGCTCCTGTGCAAGAATGGGAAACAACTCCTGGCACCAGTCTGGCTGAGGCTCCGGTGCCTGTCTGTGACAGGCACTGGTTTGTGCTGGCCAGCAGTGTCACAGTGCTCCTGTGGTGAGCCTGCTGCTTTGGGCCTCAGCTCCCCCTGCCCAAGTGTTTGCTGCCCCCCAGCTTGGAGAGCACAGATCACCCAGGGAGCTTTGTCCTGCCGTGCCTCCGGTGCCACCAGACTGGCGGGACCCAGGACATTCCTCTGGCTGCCCTGGAGGACTCGAGACCCTGGCAAGGGGGCAGAGACCTTGGCACGGAGTCAAAAACACCTGTGCCTTCGATTTTAGTCCATGGAAACAATTACCAACTTTATGTGAAGAGTTACAAGCCACAAGAGTTTGAGTAGAATGTTTATCACAGGGTGAAAAAGTAGAATTTGGGGTTTTATAGAATGGGGGTTCAAGAGCCAAGATGGAGGAATCTGGGTGTGTCCTGTCCTTCTTCTCCTTCTTCTCCTTCTTCTTGTTCTTCATCTTCTGCTGTGATGGTGACATTTCTGGATTGGTTTAGGGTAGAGACAGACTGTCTAACATAGGTGATAGGTATTGGAAAATTATTGTAAATAAAGTACACGTAGTTCATAGTTAACAACACCCCAAGGGCAGGGGCTGTGCCACAACCCAACCTGCTGGACAGACCTCAGCAGGTCAGAGAAAGAATGGAATAGATAAGAGAAAATAAACAACCTTGAAAAGCAGAACCAAGGAATCTCCACTTCTTCTTCAGTTGCAGAGCTGGGAAAAAAGAGACTTTCTAACACCTCAGGGGTCATCTCAACCACAGAAACCTGAGACCAGACAGCTCACAGCACTCCCTCATGTCACACATCTCCTCCTGTGGGATGAGAGCCAAAGGAGGAATGTGCTTTCCAGCACCAAAAAGTTTTGAGAACCTCCCTCAAAACTGTGTTATCAAACAAGTGGAAATAAGCCAGCATTTTCACGATGAAAAATTATTTGTCCTGTGTCTATTCATTGCACTGTTATGTCCAATGGAATTGCAGTATGTGTCATATCCTAGCAGTGCAGAGTGTTTTAATCCACCATAAATCCATGTAGAATACATCATCTGGGGCATTTAGAGTGATGGAAGGTGGATTTTGGTGAAAATGGATTGAATAGCCCTGGTATATTGAGACAGGATTGTTTTGTCAGGAAAAGCTTCCTCTGTGCTCTTGAAGGGCCCAAAGCTTCCCTTTCTCAACTAGCTCAGAAGCACCACTCAGGCAGCTGCTTCCTCCTCTTGGGAAGGGCAGAGAGCCCCTGCTACCATCATCCTGTTGAACCAGGGGAAATCCACAGCTTTATGCTCTTGGATCCTCTCCAGATCTCAGGAAAGGTAAATACCCCTGCTTACCTGGGGTGTTCTCTGGAGGTTGCTTGTCCAAGTCTGGTTCTCCACCTTTGAAATCAAACTCTTCCCTTCTGCAGTAAGCTGGGGATACTGGTAAGCATCGTCAACAGATAGAAAAAGTCCAAAAAGGCAGAAACATCTGGAAAAAACAAAGGGCTAGCAGCTGAGGTGAAGCTGCAGGGAGTATAAATTAGGAGAGAGGTCCAGCCATAAATTGAAGAAAATGCTTGATAAGAGATATGAAGAATTCCTGTTTCCAGGCATCAGGAAGACATTGCAGTGAATTCATTGCTGTACAATTCAGATGCTGTTATGTACTATGCAATTTTGGGAGGAGATTATTGAAAAGTAGCTCCATGGAATCACTAGAATTCAGAAAAGTCAAAATATTTTCATGCTGGGAAGCAGAACACACCCTGTGTGCTCTCTACACTGTCTGGG